TGCCTGCTCAGTAATTCTCCTCCCCTCAGTTTCAGGCTAGATGGGTCACAGTGTTCATTCATTACAGTTGATATTGAGTAGGAAGATGACAAGTACGCACGTACAAACTGTTCTTTTGTGTCAAACTCATTTTAAACAAGAAGGAAGGTAAGGTGTTTTCTAGGGAAACTTACCTACCTTGGCAAAAGGATAGCTGTTTCTGGTCATAATCATCACAGACAGATATTGGTGGTTTAGAAGAAGCATGTCCTGCCCCTAAATCAAGCACTTCATGTCCCTCAGTTATTCCCTTGCATTTTTGTTCAGCTGTTGAAAGGATAACTGTGTGGAATTCCTCAAAATAATCTCTTGTCTGTTTTTCAGGAGTCTCTGTTTCCTGGTCCCTTATTTTCCAGGCTCCTGATATCTGAAAAGTTTCCATGCTTGTCTACCTCTTCTCATCTTGCTCTATACAAGGTGAAGCTATATAAAGGCCTGGAGTTAAGATGGGGGAGGATGGAGGAAGTGGCAGGAAAGGGCAATGCACAAATGCACATAAATATTGCACATTTCCACAAAACATTTCACAATGGACCATGAGCGCACCAGGTAGACTCCAGATGGGGAAAAAAAATGTTACCCTGTGACTGGAACAATAATAAAGGTGCCTGCAAAATACTATCGAACCAGAGAAAAGAATTTGAGAGGTTTCCAGATGCATAGTATCCATGAACTTGTGAAGAAGTGTTGAGTTTGTGCTTTAAAGGTTAGTTCAATCTAGCTTCAGTCTTTGATCCTCCATTATTCATCTCATTCCCTTGTCTTTTGGTAATAGAGCCTCCCGTAACACTTCATGCTTTGAATATAGCCCTTGCTGCTCTGCCACATTGACTTATTATTATTTTTTTAAATTTTTTGGTATCAGGGATTAAACTCAGGGGAATCAACCACTGAGCCACATCCCCAGCCATCCTCTTCCTCCTCCTCTTCCTCTTTTTTTTTTTTTTTTTTGGAGATAGGATCTTGTTAAGTTGCTTAGGGCCTTGTTAAGTTGCTGAGGCTGACTTCAAATACATGATCCTCCTGCCTCAGCTTCCTGAGCTGTTGGGATTACAGGTGTGTACCACCACAGCCACACATAGACTTATTTTTTAAATAGACATGTTTTTTTTTTTCTCTCCCCTTCCCTAGTTTTCCCTTCCCTGATCTCAGGGGAAACAGGATTACTCTTCCTCTCTATCCTAGGCCCAGTTTTCTGTCTTTGAGCACACCTTTAATCATAGGAATAAAGTAATTCAGACTTGGGGGATGGCTCAAGAAGATCTAAGAAATCTCCCAAATTAACAAGTGAATTCTCTCTCTCTCTCTCTCTCTCTC